GCCTCAAGTCGTTTACTAGGGTTTCGACGTGTTTGGTTTTGATGACCACGTCATCTACATATGCTTCCACCGTTTTGCCGATCTGGTTGGCCAGACATGTCTGAATCATGCGCTGATATGTTGCGCCGGTGTTTTTGAGCCCCAAAGGGCATTGTGTTGAAGCAGAACGGGCCGTATGGAGTGATGAATGCTGTTGCAGCTTGGTCTGGCTCTGCCATCTTTATTTGGTGGTAGCCAGAGTACGCGTCGAGGAAGCACAATGAGTCGTGTCCTGCTGTGGCGTCAATGATTTGATCAATTCGCATGAGGGGGAAGGGATCCTTTGGGCAAGCCTTCTTGAGGTCTTTGAAATCAACACATAGGCGCCAGGATTTATCCTTCTTTGGTACCATCACCAGGTTCGCTAGCCAGTCCGGATGTTTTATATCTCTGATGAATCCGGCCTCCAAATGTTTGGCTAGCTCCTCTCCCATGGCATGTCTCTTAGGTTCGGAAAAGCGCCGAAGAGCCTGTTTGACTGGCTTGAATCCTTTTAGGATATTTAGGTTGTGCTCGGCCAGCTGACGTGGGATTCCCGGCATATCTGAAGGGTGCCAGGCAAAGATGTCCTAGTTTTCTTGTAGAAATTTTCGTAGTGCGGCGTCTACATCAGGGTTTAATTGTGCCCCGATGGAGGCCGTCTTTGCAGGGTCCGTTGGGTGGACTTGGAATTTGACTATTTCATCCGCTGGTTTAAAAGAGGTGGACTTGGATGTTTTATCAAGTATCACATCGTCCCTGTTCATCGTGGAGCGCATCGCGGTGAGTTCCTCGGCCGCTAGGGCTTCGGATAGTGCCTCGAGGACTAGTGTAGCTGTCTTATTTTCGGCGCGGAGCGCTATGCTCGGATCACTAGTGAGAGTGTTGATTCCGTTCGGACCGGGCATTTTAAGCTTCATGTACCCGTAATGGGGTATAGCTTGGAAAATTGTGAATGCCTCTCGTCCTAGTATCGCATGATATCCGCTGTTGAATGGGGCCACTTGAAATGTGACCTCCTCGGACCTGTAATTGTCCGGCGAGCCGAACACTACATCCAGCGTGATTTTTTCTGTGCAGCATACTTCCCGGCTGGGGATTATTCCTCTAAAGGTTGTGCTGCTTCGCTCAATGCGGTTCCAATATATTTTCATCTTTCGGAGAGTTTCCTCATAGATGAGGTTTAGTCCGCTGCCGCCATCCATGAGTACCTTAGTAAGGCGAAAGCCGTCTACTATCGGGCTGAGAACCAATGCGGCTGGTGCCCAGGCAGTTCGGAATTTAGGTTCGTCACTGGCATTGAAGGTAATAGTCGTGTCACTCCATGGATTCATTGTTGCTACCTGGTAGACTTCGGCAAGGTTGCGGAGTTGTCGTTTTCGCATGTTATTTGATGCGAAAGTCTCGAAGACTGTTAAGACCGTACTGGTGTTGCTGGGCCGGGATTCTGAAGCTAGAAGCTCTTCGCCACTTTTGGCCACCTGCCGTAGTATCCAACATGCTCGAAGGCTATGAGTTGGAGCGGCGCCCTCTGTGCTATGAATTTTGCAGGGTCCGTTTAGCCAACCCTCCAGTACGGTTCCGTACCCTTTAGGGGGTTTTGGTTTTTTGGTATTCAACCCCGGTGCTTGATAATGATGCACCCTTTTGTTCCGGACTAGGGATGTATTCAGGGCCGGATTATCCCAAAATTTACTTTCGGTTTTCCAGGCGCTCTCCAATGCACAATTTTTTTGTACTATGGTCACCAAGTCAGCAAAGCGTGTGATTTCGCGATGGCTTATGGCGTTTAGGATTCCCTTGTCCGTGCAATTATTGCAAAAAAATTGGGATTGCGTCCTCCTCTCGGCAGTCCTTTATCATGTTCATAACCAGGAGGAATCTGGCCCAGTAATGATGTATTGTTTCAGCTGGCTCTTGCCGAATTCGAGAGAGATCGCCAATGTTTGGGTGGGTGGGTGGCACTAAATCCGGAACCCCGTCCAATTCAGGACTCAAGGGCCGAGAAGTTTCCGAACTCGGAATTATGGGTTTTTGAGTGCAATCCAATGAGTCCGACCCGCCGCCTGACTTTAGGGTCAGGGCTTGATCAACATCCGTCCCTCCGCAGGAATCCGGCATGGAGGGATCGGGAATCCGGACGTAACTAGTCCTTAAGGTAGGGGAAGAATCGCCGCATTGCTCCTCTATCACAGTAACATGATGGGTAGCCTGGGGAGAGTTGATCTCTCTTAGATCGGTTTTAGGCCCGATCCGGTCGTAATCTGTGGCGACTCCCAGGGCGGCGATGCGATCCAAGAGCTCGTTTATGGAGGAGAGCTCGATCGGATCTAACTGTTCGGCCAGTTCCGAACTAACATGAAGATTGGATTTGATGACTCGAGAGGTCATCGTCGGCGCGGAGGCCGAACTGGCGGTCATGAGAAAACCGCCAAGCCGAAGAGTTTGACCAGTGGCCAAGGCCTCTTTGGCGAAGGTGTCATCTTTAAAGACAAGGCGAGGCATCCCACCTGACGGTGACGGCACAGAGGAACTCTCAATGAAAGCACCAATGTCGGTGTCAAAACCGGCGGATCTCGGGTAGGGGGTCCCGAACTGTGTGTCTAGGCGGATGGTAACAGGAGACAAGGGACACAATGTTTTTACCCAGGTTCGGGCCCTCTCGATGGAGGTAAAACCCTACTCCTGCTTGATTAATATTGATGATATGGGTAGTACAAGAGTAGATCTACCACGAGATCAAGGAGGCTAAACCCTAGAAGCTAGCCTATGGTATGATTGTTGATGTTGTAGTTGTCGTCCTACGGACTAAAACCCTCCGGTTTATATAGACACCGGATAGGTTAGGGTTACACAGAGTCGGTTACAATGGTAGGAGATCTACAAATCCGTATCGCCAAGCTTTCCTTCCACGCCAAGGAAAGTCCCATTCGGACACGGGACGAAGTCTTCAATCTTGTATCTTCATAGTCTTGGAGTCCGGCCGTGACGATAGTCCGGCTATCCGGACACCCCCTAGTCCGGGACTCCCTCGGGATCCATCCATTGGAGGTGATCAAAGTAGAGACGCTTATTGGGGGCGAATGAAAGAACACTTTGATGCTCACAACGTGAGTGGAATTGACCGCTCCGAGAGATCACTTCGGTCCCGATGGTCGACAATCAACTCGGATTGTCAAAAGTGGGCGGCCGCACAAAAGGCAGTTGACAAGATTAACCAAGTGGCACAAATGAGGATGATCGAGTAAGTGGCATCTCATATATGTTCATCCTACTTGTTTTTGGTGACCGAAGTGCTAACTTGTTTTGTTTTTCTTGTAGTACAACATTGCACAAAACTTGTTCAAAGAAGGGATGAGGACAACCAAGAAGGGGAAGATCAAGAAAGGAAGGATCTTTACCTTGCCTCATTGCTATGAAGTGTTAAAGGATGATGAGAAATGGAAGAAGCGTGATGGTTTGGATGATTTGCATTTGAGCAACAAACGCAAGCGAACAATTGTTGAATGATGATGAGGAGGAGGAGGATGCATCAAGTGATGACGGCAAGAGAAGCCCCACACCCAACTCGGTTTCATACTCGAAGCCAAAACGACCGGATGGGTGCAAGAAAGACAAAACCGAAAAGAAGAAGAGGAAAGGAGATGATGAGCTCAAAAATGCTATAGAAGCTATTGTGAAGGCAAGAAAAGAAGCCAACGAGGTGAGGAAAATGGCAAGGAACCAAGATGCCGCGGCCGAGGAGAGGAGGTTTGCGCTAAGGAGAGGAGGGTGGCCGTCGAGGAGAGGAAAGTGGCATTGGAGGAGAGGAAGGTGGGCATGGAGGAGCGAGCTAAGTTGTTGGAATGGGAGAAGCACTTATTCTTCTTGGACACATCTAACCTCAATGCGGCGCAAAAGGAGTATGTCAATCTTGCCCAACAAGAAGTCTTGATCCAAAAAAGAGCCATGATTCGTGCAATGGGTGGTGGTGGCCTCGGCGCCATGGGTGGCGGTGGCCTCGGCGCCATGGGAGGCATGGGTGGCTTTGAAGCACCCTTCGACGCTATGGCCGCCATGGGAGGCATGAGTTTTGCTTCTCTCATGGGAGGCATGGGTGCACCTCCGGCCGTCATGGGTGGAATGTCTTTCGATGTGCCTCCTCACACACATTCCCATAAAGATGCCGTTGAAGATCTTGCCAACACCGTCGGAGCTTCACGTGATGCGGTGCGTGATGAGGTTAGGGAGGAAGATTCATCTTCGAAGGCGGAAGAATCGTCTTCGGAAGATGAGGACGAAGACGAGGAAGATGATTGATGTGTCTTTCATTATGTCTTGAACTTTAGTTTGCATTTTAACTTGGTTGGATGAATTTGTGGGCATGAACTTTTATTCATCAACTTGTTTGTGTCAAATTTCACATGTTCATTGCATTTTGATGAATGTTTCAAACTCATTTTGTGTCCAAACTATCATATATGTTAAAATGCCCAGCGAGTCGCGCGCGTTGTATTTTTGCGCGCTGCATTATAGCGCGGCTGCTGGAGCCAGCGCTGGTGGCCGCGCTAAACCAGCCGAAGCACGCGCGGCAAACAGGTTTTTTGCGCGCGGCGCGAAGCGCGGCTGTTGGAGATGCTCTAAGACTAGCCACAGTGGGAGTAACTTCAGCAGTAACATCGAGTCCAACTCAGCAAATTTGCTTATGTGGCAATGAGTTAATGAGGAGAGAGGTAGTTGCACTAACTTAGCTAGTTACTGTAACATCACATGTCCCAATGCAATATGAGTTTATAACCTAATAAATAAATAAAATGTTGCATGTTACCACATTTATGTTACTACCCACTATGAAGGTAGTAGTATAGTCTAGGGATATGTGTATGTTACTATGCATTGTGGCTAGTCTAAGGCACGTGGCTGGATTCCTGGACCGCTGGACGGAGCTACAGTGCGGCTTGCGCTTCATCCATCGCGTCGTCCTCCTCCATACCACGCCGCCGATGGCGCTGCTCCGCCTCCACCTCCTCCGGCCGCCGCCTGCTCCGCTCGCCGCCTTCTCCTCCCCCTGGCGCCGCGCCCTCCCAACCACCAGGCCCGCTGCACCCGCCTCCCGCCTCCTCTGCTCCAACCACCCCGCCTCCCCCTCCTCCCCCTCCTCGCCCTCCATCGTCGGCGGCCTGCTCGACTACCTCAACGAGTCGTGGACGCAGTTCCACGCCACCGGTGAGTGATTCAGCTTCTGCTTTATAACCCACGCCACGCCACGCCAGGCGTCCCCTCTCCGCTCCGCGTGCGCGAGGCCCTCAACCTGTTCGGTCCTATTCCTCACCGGGAGCTCTCCGGCCTTACCACCGAATGCTGCTACATTTTATTGCGAATTCGGCGCACCATGGGCCCTGGCATTTAGGCAATTGTTGGTGCGAATTCAAGTGCTTACTCCGTCCTGTTTGTTTGTGTTGGCCATTGTTTCAGCCGAGGCCAAGAGGCAGCTGCTCGCGGCAGGGTTCGAGCTGCTCAGCGAGAACGGCGACTGGGACCTGCAGCCCGGTGGCCGCTACTTCTTCACTCGCAACATGTCCTGCCTGGTCGCCTTTGCAGTCGGGCAAAAGTGAGTTTGTTTGAACTTTGAAGAGCTCCTCCGCTTCTCCATACCGACACTGCATTTGTGTTATTACTTGAACCATTTAACGAATCATATAGCTCAAGCCTTTAATTCTGGTGCTTTAAAGCCGCTCAAAGAAAGTTATAATGTAGCAAAAAGTGTGACCATGATATTTTGCTGATTTAGATACCTATAATATATGAAGGGACCTCAGTAGCATCAAAATTTGGGTGTTCCCAGTTTCCCATGCCTGTATTCCTCATTGTTTTGAAGATTTGCAAAAGCTCTGGGTAACTGGGTGATATCCCATGGCATCATGCTATTAAATGAGAGGCACAAATAAAACAAGTTCCGAACTAACAATAAATGCTCAGTACCAAAAACATTATTTCAAATCAAAATTTTGTGATTGCCAAACTACAAGTGCATATTTAATCTGAAAGACATGCAAATGCCTTTGTTCTGTTCTGCAGGTACAGAGTTGGTAATGGTTTCAATATAATTGCAGCCCACACTGATAGTCCATGCCTCAAGCTGAAGCCAAGGTCTGCTTCCTTCAAATCTGGCCATCAAATGGTAGGTGTGCAGACATATGGAGGTGGGTTGTGGCACACATGGTTTGATAGAGATCTAACTTTGGCCGGGCGAGTCATCCTCAAGGCTCCAGATGGTTCATTTAAGCATAAGCTTGTCAAAGTGAACAGACCACTCATTCGCGTACCGACACTGGCTATACATCTTGACCGGTTATTTCTCATGCCCTTTTTATCACTATTCTATTTCATTTGTCCTCTGAGAGCTAAAATGCAATCTATCATGTAGTTTCTACCCTCTTGCTAGCAATAGAGTTTTATACATCTCTTACAGTATCATGTTCTCTTGTAGTTTCTTCCCTCATTTGTCCTCTGTGGCCCTTCCATAGTTTAACGATTGCTTATTTCTGTAATACAAAAATTGTCCATATCATGGTATTTGAGACCTATCCCAGTAACATTCTTCCAATGCATTCAGTAGACTGTTGATATCCCGTTTAACAGGATTTATCCATTGTAACATTCTTTCATTTTACCCATAATCCACTATTTATCTACATCTCAGTTGTTGAAAGCTTATCTCGGTAACATCATTTCAAATTCATTGAGCTTGCTGCCAAGCATCTAGTAGCTTGTTCCTGTTGATATCCTGTTTAACTGTAATTTTATTTGGCCCTTCCATGTGTAGCTGACTGAGTTATTTTCCTTTTAGCACAGTGAATTCTGAAGGATTCAAGCCTAATCTAGAGAGTCATCTGGCTCCACTTCTTGCAACAAAATGTGAAGAAACCACTGTCAGTTCTGATGACAAAAAAGGTTCAAGTTCCACAAGGACTGTTCATCATCCACTACTATTGCAAGTAATTCCACACTCTATCCTTTTTCTTTTGCCCATCATTGAAGCAAGAGTTCAGTTTTAGATTGCTAAGCTGGCTTCAAATTGCACTTATAGCCAACTTGCTGATCCACAGGTTCTTTCAGAAGAAATTGGTTGTGGATCGGATGAAATTATTGGTATGGAGTTGAACGTGTGTGATACCCAACCTAGCTGCCTTGGTGGAGGCAAGAACGAGTTCATTTATTCTGGTAGATTGGATAATCTTGCTTCATGTTATTGTGCGCTGAAATCCCTCATGGACTCTTCCAAGATACCAGAAGAGTTATCCAACGAGAAGGGTATAAGAATGATTGCGTTGTTTGATAATGAAGAGGTATTTGAACCGAGCCCTGCTCTGATTGGTAAAAGTATATGTATGCATATCCTAGATTCCTAATACTCGCTTGGAGCCTGTTTTGATGGCTTTATGCTTAATTCGGTTGCGAATGAGAAATATCACTGATAAAGTTATAGCTCAGTAGTTGCTCATGTTCACACGAATTATCGCTGATTGTTGGACCAAGAGCAGTTTTTACTTTTTAATGATGTAGTTATTCAAAACATTTGCACAAAGGATTTTTATATTAGAACTATCTTCTAGGGAACCCTTGTTTGTTTCTGTGCCCGGCTTCCTCTTCCTCGTGTTATAACATGACACTGTTCAGGTTGGTTCAAATTCAATGCAAGGGGCAGGTGCACCAACCATATTCCAGGCCATGAGACGAATTGTTGACTCCTTGATGCATCAGTCCATGGGGGAGGGGGCTTTAGAGCGTGCACTAACTTCTTCTTTCCTTGGTAAGATTTATGTATATAACTATATTACTGTTTGTTGGATATATATAGTCTGTGACTAGTCTCTTTGATTGAACTGTGTTCTCCCTTTCAGTTTCCGCGGATATGGCTCATGCCCTGCACCCAAACTATCCAGACAAGCATGAAGAGTACCACAGACCTGAACTACAAAACGGACTTGTTATCAAGCATAATGCTAACCAACGTTATGCCACAAGTGCTGTAACAGCTTTTCTCTTCAAAGAAATAGCTCGAATTCATAACCTTCCCGTCCAGGTATTTTTCGACTTCTTTGCTTTTAAAGAACAGTTAGAACATTCCTTCTGGTGGCTTAGTGAAGCTAATGACAACCCATTTGCTTACTCTTTATTTAACTATGAGATATAAATTTGTTGTCTTTCGAGTACGTGAGTGAGTTTGAGAAATGGTACTGATGCAATGAATACCCTACAGGAATTTGTTGTAAGGAATGATATGGGTTGTGGCTCAACTATCGGTCCCATACTTGCTTCCGGTGTTGGCATACGGACTGTTGATTGTGGTATTCCTCAGCTTTCCATGCACAGGTATGCTCAGCTTTCTCTTCTTTGCACCTTTTGGTTATCGCACACTGATTCAACATGTAATGTGATGTACAAAGTGCTTCCAGACCTAGCCTTTTAATTTTTAAAATTGGAAAAGATGAGTTAATATGACTTCTGTTTTCAATTTTTCACATACACAATGACTTACCGAGATATTGCAAATGGTAGACAAATGGCAATCATATCTCATGGATAATATGCTTCGATTTATATCCATCCTCATAATTGTTCTTCCTACAATCATGTGTTGCATTACAAGTATTTGACCACCATTGCATTGATTTGCAGCGTTCGGGAAATGTGTGGCAAAGAAGACATAGACACCACATACAAGCACTTCAAAGCTTTCTTCGAGATGTTCTCGGACATTGACCAGAAACTGAATGTAGACTTTTAGCTCTTGGCATCTTAATGTGCAGTCTCTTAATAATGTATATGGATATTCATCTCGGCCTCTGAATAATATCTTGATCATGGTATCAGTTTTTGTTGTATATCCAATCTGGTTTAAGACAAGAGCACTGGCTTTGTACCTTAAATTTCTGAAGCTAATTGTTTCTCCTTGTTACTGATCACAGGTAACGTTAAATTTCCAATTGCCATCACCACGCTCAAGTTAAGAGCTGTAACCTAAAAATACATTGCATCAAAATGGACATTCTAATAGCTTTTCTGAAACTTACTTCCTCCGTCCAAAAATACTTGTCATCAAAATGGATGTATCTAGAACTAAAATACATCTAGATACATCTATTTCAATGACAAGTATTTCCGGACGGAGGGAGTAACACTCAACGATGGCCGCTCTTGTTCAGTTATTCACACTATCATTGCCAAGGAAAAACATAGCACGGAAAACAAATGGTATAACCAGTTTAACCTCCCACTGTTGTACAATGTGATCATGGATGATAACACTATCCTTTGAAACAATGCAGTTCTTTTGCCCAAAAAAACAAACTCGATGAAAACTGAACCAAATTGGTGCACAGCTGCACACAAGTCAGGTGTGCTTTACAAATGCTTGTAAAACACAAACAGGCTGTCAGGGATGTCGCTAACACCACATCCCTGTTCCTGGACTACTAAAGCGGACGCAGAACCAAACGCGTTGCAGAAATACGGCATGCTTCAGTTGCCTGCAAATGGCAGCGGCATCAATCTCTATCCTTTCTTTTGCCAGTTACCGGTGCAGCCAGTTCTTCAGGTTGCCTCTGCCCAGCTCCGTTAGATGCCTCAGATGGAGATAAATCCTGGGCAACTCCGTTGGCCACCGGAGGTTCACGGGGTGGTTTGGCGAGATCTGTCCTGCCAATACAAAGCCAGGTCCTAGCTCTCTCGTCACCAGATTTCTCCTCTATTGGCACGTGCCAAGATCCTGTCTCGGATTCCTGCAATGAAGATAACATCAGTAACAGCACGTTGCAACATCGGCACATGCCAGGATCCTGTCCCGGATTCCTGCGATGATAGTAAGCTCTAGAAAAACCTGACTTGGTTACTTACTTGAATCTCCGAAGAATAGGGGGGTGGCAGAACAAGCACCGCCTTCCCTTTATTAAAAGTGTACTTGACCTGCAATTGCAATTATATTTGCACATTAACAAAATAAATAGGAATAGGAGTGGGTCATATGATTCATAAGATTTGCAGTGCACACCCGATGTCTTTGCTTCCACTTGTAGAAGAAGGACGATGATCCTAGGAGCTCAAATATGTGATCTCTCATTTCATCGTTAGTCACGAGCAAACAGTTCAATCCAATTGCTGCATATAGCCAATACCTGCAAAGTTATATCACATATATTTAGCAAACCCAGGAAACGTAACAGTTGATAAGATGCTGAGAATCAACAACAATCTAATTTCACATATTAGTCAATACATGCAGTTCAGAGTAAGAGATGCACTTCGAGCTCAGAATAAGGCGAACTTGAACTTAGATTAATATCTGAAGCATACTACCAATGTGAAACAAGAAGTGCAAGAATATCCGCGGCTAGAAAGTGGGGAACATTACCAGTCATCATTTGACCCACTTGGCGATGTGTATAATGCTCCATTTACTCTCCAAGTTTCAATAAGATGCCTATTGGATGCAGTTTCCATAAGCTTAGCGATGCGCTTATTATGTAGTATAACAAGTGGCCATTTCCCACTATATCTATCTCGTAGCTCTGTTACAACAGCATCCAGCTGCTCTATATTAAGCATGACAAATGGAACATGGATTAGTACAAATTACTTCAGTGGTGACAGCATGTCAGAATTCAGTGTAGGATGACGCACAGACCTGAACCAAGCTGAAACCGCCCTCAGCAAAATTTTGTTGATAAAGTGCAATATTTGCACCATCCACTATAGCTTCGTATTCTTTATGTGCTTCCAGCCACTCCTACAGAAGTCAAAATTTCAGCTTGTAAATGGAAAAACTATGTTCTGAACTTTATAAACATGTATTTCTCCAAATAAAAGCAACAGACAAATCAATACAGTATATGAAACATAATTTGATTGTCATCTTTCCTTGCTACCTTAGTTCCTAGACAGGTGAATGTCATGCTTTAGTTATATGAGAATTGTGGATTCCCCTAACTCTGGGTTAGGACCAGTTTCTTGAGCAAGCAATTATTGCGCAGTCGGGCAACCAAACACAAAGCCTTTAAGGGTGACAAAAATGTTTTAACACAACTGCAATTCAGTTACTATAAACGAATCAACGAAGAAACTTAGTTTACAACCCTACTTAATTTGGCTACAGTGAGCCAGAAGTAGTTGTCTACACAAAACAGGGCAGCGCACTTTCTTCAGGTATAGTTTTCACAAATTAATTCCTAGTAATCACACAATGTCAGCTACTAGCGGAAATAAAACCAAGCGCATATGTGCTCTGTCTATCATAATTTATGTAAATTTGGTTGGCGTTTTTCGTTAGCTGGCTTCAGTTTCTAGACTAGTGACTGTCATGCTTTAGTTATATGAAATCATTATGAATTTCACTAACTACAGCTTTAGGACCAGTTACTTGAGCAAGCAGGTATTACGCAGGCATGGCAACCAACCACAAGGTTTTAGGTATGACTCAAGTGTGTTGACACTACAGTAGTTCAATTTCCACAGACCAAACTGAAAATTTAGATGAAGAAGCTAATCATATAAGCCCATTCAATTTGGCCACAGTATATCACCCCAGGCAGTCATCTGCACAAAACAGGGAGGCGCACTATCTCCAGGAGAATGTCATGATTTAATAATATAAAAAATAATGGATTCCCCTAACCGGTACATCTTAAGGACCAGTTACTTCAGTAAGCAGTTATTGTGCAGACATGGCATTCAACCACAAGGTCTTGAAGGATGACTCAAATTGTTAACACAACCATAGTTCTATAAACAGGGGCGATAGTTAACATAACGAATAAGCTTATCATATACACATATTGAATTTGGCTACGGTATATCACCACAAGTCTAGTTTTCCCAAATAAATTCTTTGTAAATCACATGATGACAGCTAGTCAGCTACTAATTGAAATAAAATCAAGCACATATCTGCTCTGCCTATCACAACTGCCAGTAAACTACAGAAACTAACCACATTTAACAAAACGTGCAATGCTCCAAGTTAGCTAGGGAGTCAAACCCAAGGGACAGTATATATGCACCTTAAATTGGCTGAAATTTGCTTTGGTCTCCCTCTCAAGGGCCAACCCAGAAATAGAGTCAGCAAACTTCTGTGTATCCTCCATGTTGATATCAACAGAAGCTAGGCGGCATCTGCATCCGCCGCACTCGCCTTCTGCCCCAACTCTCACCCGCTGCACCGTCCACGGTCCGGTCCGAAGCCACCCCAGCTGATGGCACCCACCGCCGTTCGCCACAATGGCGTCCTTCACCTGACACACATCCCACTCAGCCTTACCAGCCGTCGCCGCCTTCTCGCTCCGAAACCATGCCTCCAACACCTCTGTGGTCTCCTCTTTAACACAGCCCACGGCTCGCCGCAGCTTGTGCATATACTCATACACCTTGTCTGCGTTCCCCGCCTTGGCGCTGACCTCAAGGAGCGCGGTGAGCTCAGGCTCCTCCGGCGATACAGCGGAGGCCGCCATGTGGGCCTCGACCTCGTACGCCTTGCCAGCCTCCCCGGCGCGCCAGAACGCGGCGAGCACGGGGCTGTAGGACCGGAGGCGCGGCGCGAGGCCGTACTTCTCCCGCATGGTGGAGACGAGCCCGAAGGCCTCGTCGGCGCCCTCGGCGTCGTCCGCGGCGGCGACGACGCGGGCGAGCGAGGTGATGGTGGCCTCGGAGGGGGGCGCCCCGACCCCGAGCATGTGGGCGAACACGCGGCGCGCGGCGGCGGCCGGGTGGGCCGGGAACGCGGCGCGGTCCGCGGAGGCGAGCAGGTGGAGGAGCTGGTTGTACTGGTGCGCGGCGAGGCGGAGGTCGGGCGCCGCGTCCGGGCCGGAGACGGCGGCGTCGAAGGCGGCCATGGCGGCCGCGGCGTCCCCGCGGCGGGTGCAGTCGGTGAGGGTGCGGGAGAGGTCGGAGTTGGGGCCCTTCCCGCCCCGGCCGCGCTTACGGCGGGTCCCGTCGCCGGCGGCGGTGGCCATGGGCGGCTGGAGAGAAACCCTAACTGGCAGCGAGGGTTTGGACTTGGAGCCGCTGAGCGGCCATGGCCCATATACTCTTGGCAGGAGGGCGCTGGTGCCGGTCGCTGAGATTAGTCCCATACCGCTAGCCGAGGGGAGTTCGAGGCGGTTTATAAGGCGGAGATGGCTCGACTGGGAGCACTAGCCACAGGATGAAGTGAGCGGGCCTAACAAGCCCTGGAAAGTCCCCGGGCCCCATGCGCAGCGATGCGCCCACGGAGACGTGGACGGCCCATGAGCCGGCCCTCCCTGCCTCGGCGGGGGGCTGAGACGAGTGTGGAGCCCTAATCACAGGGGGCCGGCTCTGGGTCAATTGGCTAATCTCACAGTTATTCACTTGTTCCAAATGGATTAACAGAACGGGGCTTACACTCCTGTGGCACCACCTTTTTTTTTGGGGTTGGGGCTTTAGTTTTTCTCATGCATAAACTTAATCTAGTTCAAGCTGCTAATTCAAATGTTGACTTGTTTTACTTTAAGCTGCTAATTCAAATGTTGGCTTGTTTTACTTTAAGATAAGAGCATCTCGGGGACGAACCGGCGCTAAAAGTCGGCCTAGGGGCGATCTGGTTCCCAACCGAAGGCCCAGGGTCGGCCCCAGGCGGATGTTTTAAATTGTTTTGAATCTAAAATTCAGCGAGCTGGACAAATATTCGGCAAAACATTTATATTATTCCGGCGAATTGAAATAGTTTCTTACATAAATAAAATACTTAAAAAAACAAAATAGGGCCGCGACTACAGG